AGAACATCAGCCAGCTCACTGGCACATGCCCTGAGAGCCCTCCTAGGGGCTGTTGTGCGGTCCTGCCACTTTGCAGGGGGTTGATCTTCCTCAGGACTGTGCGTACCTGGCTTGGTGAGACAGTTAGTGGAGGGGAGGTGGGGGTTGGGTGGTCTTGGTGTGTGTGTGCCTCCTCTCTGTGTTGCAGCTGGAAGTCTCAAAGCAGGTGTAGAAGGTGTTGAGGTCATCCGGCAGGCTGTCTGTGGAGCTGATGATGCTGGTGGTGGTCCTGTAGTCTGTGATGTGCTGCAGGCCTTGCCACATGCGTCCGGAGTCAGCAGTATAATAGAAGCCATTCAGCTTCCTTTCTGTACTGCCTCTTGGCCGCTGTGATGGCTTTCCTCAGTCTGTACTTCGCAGCTTTTTACTCTGTCTCATTGCCTGATCTGAATGCATGAGAGCGGGCACACAGCATGTGGCATACCTGACTGTGTATCCAGAGATTCTGGTTGGGGAATCTCCTGACTTGTATGGTGGGCACAATGTTGTCAATACAGGTACTAATGTACTCGGTCACATACTCAGCATAATCCTGTACGCTGACAGAAAAGTCCTCTCAGGTGGCTGCAGCTTTAAACACATCCCAGTCTGTCTGGGCAAAACAGTGCTGCAGGGTGCCTTCAGTCTTTGGGGTTCAGAGTTTAATTTGTTTGGTGACTGGGTTTGTTTGTTTCAGTATTTATCTGTAAGCTGGGTACAGGAACAAAGAAATGTTGTCCGAGCGTCCAAGGTGGGGGCAGGGTGTGGCCCTGTATGTACCAAGTATGTTACTGTAAACATGATCCAGAGTGTTCTTGCCCCAAGTGGGAATGTTCACATGTTGGTAATATTTGGGGAGTAGAGTCTGTAAATTGTACTGGTTAAAGTCGCCTGCAGCGATAAATACAGCATCGGGGTGAGCTGTCTGTAGCGCGTTGATGGTATCATAGAGTTTACTGAGAGCCACAGAGGGATTAGCTCTTGGGCTAACATACACAGCAGAAAGAAACACAGCACTATGCTCTCTGGCTAGATAGTAGGGCCGGCATTTCAGCAATAAAAACTCTACGTCTGGCAAACAGTGCTTATAAACAGTCCGTACATCTCCACACCATGAGTTATTAATAAACACACACACCACCTCTTTTTACCTTCCCCGAAGCAGCAGTGCGATTGCTTTGATGTACAGAATGTGTTTGTAGCTGAATCGCTGAGTCTGGAACTCTGTCAGAAAGCCAAGTCTCGGTGAGAACTAGAGCACAGCATTCTCTGATTTCCCATTGTGCCCACCCTGCCTGAAGTCCTCCATCCTAGTTCCCCTGCCTAAGAAACCCAACATAACCAGCCTCAATGACTACCGGCCAGTTGCACTCACTCCAGTGATAATGAAATGTTTTGAGAAACTGATACACATCATTCCTCCCACCAACATCTGGCCCACACCAGTTTGCATACAGGGCAAATAGATCCACAGAGGACCCTGTAGCCACAGCCCACCACGCTGTGCTGTCCCACTTAGAGCATCAAGAGAGCTATGCACGGCTGCTCTTTGTGGATTATAGCTCCTCATTCAACACCATCCTTTCCCACAAACTGGTGGTGTTAGGGTGATTTTTATTTTTAGATAGAAATTAATATAATTAGTTAGGGTTTTTATTATATAGCATACATAAGTCTATATATTTTAATCTCACAGTTGTGTTTATGTTTATGTAGTTACATATCTACATATCACTCTATGTGTTCACTGAATCACTGGTCAGTATTTACTGTGTTAGCCAACTGGAGCACTGTTTAACCTCAAGGGGACTTGTTCACTAAAACACTGACTCTCATTAGATTTATAGCTTTAGCAAAGAGGGTCCACAGTTAATTTACTATCACCACCTGGCTAATGGGCCTGGGGAGCTATAGTTTATTGGGATTCCTAGAATAGTTGAAACAGAGATTAGATCTGAGGCCAGGAAGAGGAAGCAACTTCAAAGGCAGGGCAATATACACACACATAGGCAGAGCAGTTTTATTGGAACAGGAAAGCAATGTCTAAAATGTAGCAGTTCCTTGGAAACAAAGGAAGACATAAGTGTCTATGTAGGAATTAAGACGGTATAGGTATTCCTCCCCTTTTTAGGGCGCTGTCCACGACCATTGGAGCAGAGAGGATGATTGGAGGACGGACGGACTGAAGGACCAATATCAGGAGAGTTAAATTTAAACCACAACTTCTCCCCAACAGTTTTGGACCAATCAGATAGTAACATCTTTCCATACAAATATTGTATACCGCCAAGTTGCAGTCAGTCTTTCCTGTTTATCCTAAACAGTGAAGATCCATGTGCACGTGCTTATTTTGATACGTTAATGTATATTAAATTTCACATAGTGATATATATATATCTTTTTATTAGTCTTCTCTTTTCAAAATAAAAGAACTTTCCTCACATTGGCGATATCCAACAATGCCTGTCTGTTGTATGTGACCAGTGCATGACATTTGTGCACTGCAGAAAAAGCAAAAAACACACAAAAAAGTCTGCTTCATCAGATGCTGCTGCTGCTGCCTTGCCATCATCTGCTTCTCTAGCCAGCCATTCACATTTGGTTTCTGGCCCTGTTTTGAAGTTATCACCTTCCACTGGACATCTATCAGAGTTGTCATGATTCACGTATCAATAAGCTGACTGTGGATGAGGTTCTTTTACACAGGTTCTCCGTGGCTTCCTGGTCCCGGGGGCAGGTGAGTCTTGGTGTGTTACCAAGATCTGCATTCACTTTCATTCTCGGAATCACTGTCTGTTATACCCTTCTTCGGGCTCACTTGTCTTTTCTTCCTTTCCATTGTTTTTGTCTCTCTAAGCATCACACTGGCAAGAAATCACAGGGTAGTAACAAATTTCTGTGGAGGACCCTGGCCTTTCCCGAGCCGCGCTCCGGTTGTACCGTGTACACTGGGCTGTCATGTTTCTTTTCCACTACTACATACACCCTTTCCTCCCAGTAAGACCAGTAACACCCTGCACCCAGGCTTAAATCCCCTCCATACTCTTTCCTGTTGTAATACTGTTTGGCTCTTGCCTGTCCTTTCTGTATGGTCTTTGAAGCCAGTTTGTATGCCTCTGCCATCCTCTTTTGCCATTTGTCAACATACTCACTGTATGAACCCTTCTCCACATCAGGTGTTCGGCCAAACATAATGTCTATGGGCAGCCGTGGGCTCCTGCCAATCAGTAAGTAGTAGGAGGAAAATCCAGTGGTTTCATTTTTCGTACAGTTGTACGCATGCAGCACCTTCTCTAAGGAGCTTTTCCAGTCTGACTTTGCTTTCTCTGGCAGATTCCTCCACATGGAAATGAGGGTTTGATTAAATCTCTCCACTTGACCATTTCCCACCAGGTGGTATGGTGTGGTGTGTGAGCCTTGGATGCCACAATACTCTTTCAGCATTGAGAACAACCTGTTCTCAAACTCTCTGCCTTGGTCATGATGGAGTTTAACAGGGAATCCAAACTTAAGTGCAAAGTCACCAAAAATCTTTTCAGCTGCTGTTCTGGCAGATTTACTGGTGCATGCATACAGTATGTCTGTGCAAATCTTGTAAAGTGGTCCATGACAACTAATATGTACTCATATCCTCCTATGCACCGTTCCATGTGCAAAAAATCAATGGGCACCATTTCAAAGAGGTATGAGGTGACTATATTGGTCAGAGGTGCCCTTGTCTGCTTATTCGTTTTTGTTTCAGGCAACTGCATACTTTTGTCACATGGTGGTCCACATCCCTCTGCATGTGGGGCCAATAGAACCTCTCACAGATCAAAGTGATTGTCTGTTCCACTCCTAGGTGTCCCATTTCTTCATGCAGTTCCTTGTATATCAGTGGGTGGAATGTTTTTTGTAGCATTAACTGAGGCCCTGCAGCTGTTCTCCTATACAGTATCTCATTTTCACCCATGTACAGTCGGTTTTTCTGTTGCAACAGTACTGTGATGTCCTCACGTCTGATCCTGTGTTTAATTTGAGGCCATCGTTTTGTACTGATGTACCTTCTGATTTGGCCAAGGATGGGGTCATCCTCTTGTGCTTTCCTCAGGACATCCGGCGGTATTGCTGTCACTAAGGAAATGTCTCCCGTTCACTTTCTGCTTCGGCACAGGCAGTCACAATATTTAAGGGGCACATCCATGGTTTGCGTTTCTGAAACTCAGAGTGAATGGCTTGGGTTATTGTAGCAATTACATCTGGCTCCACCTCCTCTGAACATGCCTGCATGTACTGCTCCATGTCTAGCGGCATTCGTGATAGGCCACCAGCATCTCCATTAACCCTCCCCGGCCTATACTTGATAGACAACTCAAAATCTGTGAGCTCAGCAACCCATTTGTGCATGGTGGCATTGAGCTTGGCTGATGACAACACATATGTTAAAGGATTGTTATCAGTATATACAACAAAGGATGGGGCGTAATATAGATAGTCCCAAAATCTTTCGCAAATTCCCAACTTCATGGCTAAGAATTCCAATTTGCCAGAGTGTAGATGATAGTTCTTTTCTTTTCAGAGTGTGTTGTGTCAGTAAGGTGACACAACACACTCTGATGTTGTTCAGTTCATGTGATAGGTTGGTTTGATGGTAGCTGGTTACTGTTATTTGATTTTCTGCCCATTGTAGGGAGCCTCTCACCTGATAGCAAACTGTACAGTGGTTTAGCGATGCGTGAGAAATTTGGGATGTAGGTATTTTATTGATCTCACAGTGGGGAAATTTCTGTAGCAGGCAGTAAGGGCAGGCCTGCGGTCCTTCAAGGTTTGTACTGGTGCTAGCTCAGCTGGATCCATTGTATATCCATCCTTGGACACAATCTTTCTCAGAAATCTACAGAGGGGAGGTTGAGCAGCTGGTCCTGTGGTGTAGCCGCAACAACCTGGAGCTGAACACGCTCAAAACAGTGGAGATGACAGTGGACTTCAGGAAGAGCCCTCCCACCTTACCCCCCCTCGTCATACTTGGCAGCACTGTATCAGCAGTAAAGTCCTACAAGTTCCTGGGCTCCACTATCTCCCATGACCTGAAGTGGACGTCCAACATCAGGACCATCACCAAGAAAGCACAGCAGAGGATGTACTTCCTGTGCCAACTCAGGAAGTTTGACCTGCCGCTGATACAATTCTACAGAGGAATCATCGAGTCTTTTCTCTGCACCTCCTGGCTACAGGTCACTGTGCACTAAGACAACCAGGCACAGGGACAGTTTCTTCCCCCAGGCCATCGCTCTGATGAACACTCAACCCACGACAGTATGATTGGACAATAACCCTCAGTGCAATACCTGTAAATATATGTACAGATTATATAGACTTGTACAGGTCTCTAGTTTTAAGTACTCTGTTTTATTCCTATTTATCTCATTTCAATTAACATTCCTTGTTGTCTGCATTGTTTACTGTCTGTTTATACTGCTTTTTCTGCATTGTTTGCACTGTTTGTTGATGTTAATACTGATATTTTTGTTATATTACACAGCCTTATGCTGGTTTACTGTTGCACATTGAAAGCCGATGTACCCGAGTCAAATTCCTCGTGTGTCCGTCCAGGGGCGCTGCTAGCAGTTTTGGGCCCTATGGAAAAATTTGAAGTTGGGCCCTCTACCTCACCCAAAGCTAGTCTCTGTGGGCCCCCAAAGTTCGTGGGCCCTTAGAATTTTCCTAACTTTCCCCCCCTAACGGCACCCGTGTGTTTGTCACACCTGGCCAATAAAGCTGATTCTGGTTCTGGTGTTGGTTTTCCTTCTGCTCAGCTCCAACAGGTCTAGCGTCTACTGGGTAAAGAGCTTTGATCTGCCGTAGATGACCTAGGACTGTGCGTGGGGTGATGATGTCATGTGTGCTCTCGTTAGTGACAGGCATGGCAATTCTAGACCACCCTCCCCTCGGCAACGATACCACTGCCTCTGTCAAGCTCAGGCCCTCTGGCCAATGGGAGGTGTCCACTGGCTCCAAGAGGACTTCCTGTTTGGCAGCAAGAGGGTACTTCTGTGCACTGCACTTCACTAACTGTGTCTGGCCAGGGGGAATGATCACTTTTTGATGCCCTACTCTCCCCACTCCTTCTGTCACATCCTGGTCACTGTCCTTCACTAACTGGATAAGTGCCTCTGCTCTTTTACAGTCAATGGACAATGTTTTCCCCACTGCTGTTGAGGTGATAGTTGGCTGCTGATCCCTTCCACTCATTACTAATTGCTGAATTACATAATAGCCAATTATGGGTGGTTCTGCAACCCCAGGTTCGTTTGAGACTAGCACCGGTACTAGCAGTTCAGGTTGTAATACTTGGTCTGTGGAGATTAGCTTGAATTTCAACTCTACTCAGCCAGTAAATGCGATGATGGTTTGGTTAGCTGCTCTACCCATTAGTGTCTCATTCTCCTCTAGGAGTTCTTCCAGGCTATGTAACTCAATATGAGGCAAGTTACTCCACCACCAATTTTCATTAACGATGGTGACCTGTGAGCCTGTATCCCACAAGGCCTGAATGGTTACACCTTCAAAGCAGCACTCTACTAGACATTTTTTTCCTATCAGGGCTTGAAGTTTGGCCTGGCGGCGTGATGACAAGTGACTGGTGCATGCCGCACTTACCTTCTTCTCTGTTATCACACCCTTCTCCAGTTCAGCCTCTAGCTGGCGGATTCTTTCCCACAGATGTTCTTGAACTTCACTGTCTATTTTGTCATAAGTCAGGGGGAATGATGGTGGCAGATTCACCTCATGGGCTTTAACGTTCACTGGGTCAGTTGGATTGGGTGGCCTTTTAAGCTCCCGACAACCCCTTTAAAAGTGTCCTGACAGCCTACACTTGAAGCAGTGTTCATACTAGCTGACCCGCCTGCTGTTTTCACAAGCGTTGCATCCTTTCTGGGGGGCCTGCTTCTGACTGGGGACAGCTCGTTGCTGGTGACTTATGTTCTTTTTAATTTCAGCCATCTCCTCCCTCAGCAATTGCATAACCTCATATAATTCAGAGTCTCTTGAGCTGCTAGCTACTTGGAGTTTATGCCCCTTCAGCTTCACTGCTTCTGCTGGAGGCTCCTGGAGCCCCACCATCATCTCTGACACTGCCTTATCCTGAGTACGCGCCTGTGCCTCTGCCTGTAACTCATTCACTCTTGTCATTCTATTGCCTGCACATTTCCACTGTTTTGACTGCCGTTCTAGCTCTACACTAGCTGCCTCATTCATCCTCTCTATCAGAGTCTGATCTGTCATGGTTATGTCATCTAAATACAGCTTGAGCTGAAACTTGATGTGGTCACACGTGAGGCCTGTGCTGACTGACCTCAAAAACTTTTTCTGAATGACCTCTGGGCTATATTGGTTATCTGGCCCTGCCTCCCTAGAGGCTAGCAATAGTCTCTTTTAGCTCTATAGCTCTAAACAGGAAGTTATGGGGGGATTCTTGACTGTCTTGAGTTACATTCACCAGTTTGTGGTAAGGGCCCATTGAGCTGTGTTCTTTAAAATGACCCTTTAAGATTGTCTTCAGCTGAGTCAGGGTTAGGTCACTTTTGACCTCCAGCAGATCTCTCAGGCTCAGACCCGGACTGATTGCTTTGACAACTGCTTCTACAATTTCATCCTCACCATGCCCCTTACTCAGCCCTTTCTCAATCTGGTGCATTAAGTTGGTGGATAGTTTATCTTTTTGCCCTTTCCCCCCAATCTGACCACTTATTTTAAAGTCTCTCTGTATTGTCACTTCTTGTGGTCAGTTTCCAGACAAACTTGCTGTGGTTGGTTGTGCTGATGTTTGATGAGAAGGGAAACTGCTTACCCTATCACTTAGCCTCCTCACTTCATCCTGGAGAGCCTGGTGAGTTAGTTTCAGCTCTGAATATTTTAGTTGCGGATCTCCTTCCCCCTCAACAAATGTGCCTGGTTCCTTTGACTGCTCTCCTAGCTTCAATAGTGAGTTTAGATAATGCCTGGCAACTTCCCCTTCTTCCTCGTTTATTGTCTTGTCAATTGATTCCATAATTAACTGTATGGCTGCTCTTCTAGTTGCGGCGCTCCCCGTGATAGTTTTTGCGTGTGCAACATATCTCTTTGAGCTCCCCTAGTTGCAGGGCCCACAGCTGCTGCGCTACTTTCTCTGCTAACTCTTCTAAGCTCATCTGCGTGTTTGTCGTTGCTACTTATATGTGCGCTCACCTCATCAATTCCACTCCTTTTCCGACCTTCTACTCATTCAGATGTGGCTTTAAGCATCCCGGACGAGCCCCCAAGTTTTGTAACTTGACCATCGCAATTTTTTTTTGCGCTCTCTCGACCCCAGCTGTCCCTTACCTGCCGGTGTCATTTACAACATTATAACCCTTTTTCAGTTACTAATAAATGAACAGACTTACTCACATGCAACATCTTATTTAAATTGAAAGTGGAAAATAAATATAACATGAACAGGTTGGGGGGGGGTGCGTGATTTCT